TCCACTTCAATCCTAATTTGTGGATATACTGGTTATTTTGAAACACTGGTTACTTGGGTCTCTCTTTTAGTAAAGACAGCAAAATCATGTTAAATTATGATTAAATTATGTGGAATCCTAGAAAGAGGCATACAACATACCAAGTTTTGCACATTATCATTATCCAGATTTGACTGTGATCTCTAGACACTAGAGATTTTTCATTAAACTAGTGCTGTACCTAATTGCCAATAATAATCCTTTTGCTTCAGTCCAGACCTTCCATATTCATAAAGTTTTGTTACTTTTATTAGTTATTAAAGTATTTTCAATTACCGTATTTACTCAAATATGAGACAACCCTGAATATAAGACCCACCAGTTAGATTCTGTATATGGAAAATGTATGTGTTTACAATTATCCAGATACAGCATCTAATTATTGGAGATTTATTTTGAATTTGTCCCCCTCCCACTACTACAGCAGGGAAAATAAATCTGAGAGTCAGGTAGGTCCCTTGCCCTCTGCCTCCCCCCAATTTCTTTCCTCAGCAGCTCCACCCCACCCTTACTGTCAGACCCTACTGTCCCTGAACATGTAAAACTGAGGTGCAAATTTGAAAACACTGACCTTGACATAAACACACCTGTAGTAATTTACATATAGTACCCATAGACTTAGTTCATCCAGAATTGATCTATTTTACCTTTTTTTTAATTGCTACAAGTTTAGCACAGGTATACACACACTTTTAAGCAGCACTTTTATACCTGCTTATATAAAGTACAAACTACAAATGATATTAGGCTCATGATTTATCATATAGTTCATTGGGCTGGGCCCCAACAGAGTCAACAGCACTACAACCATGGTGACCACACAGCTCAGCACTGCTCAGTATGTGTGTGGACTCTAGATACCTCCCCGAAAGGATCCATATGTTAATTAGCCCTCTGCTCATGGCTGGAATTGGATGTTCTTGTCACAAGTCCTGGAATCCTCCAAAAATTTATATGCAGATGAAGCACAGGGCAACTTGGAGGGCGGGGTCACACTAATCACATGCAGCAGCTTGCGAGAGTGGGTAACAGAGGGATTCTGGGTGAACTGTTTGGGGCCCCATTTGTTGATGTTTGCCAGACATTTAAGGCTGGTGAAGAAACAGGAATAATTGGAAATAGAAAAGAAAGCCATAGCTCACCTGTGTGAGTAAAGAGGCTCACCATGACTTGGAAAAGTCGGTGCTGAAGGGGACTAAGTGCAATAAGTACTATGTCTTATTCACATGGGCTGCCCTAACCTAACCTTGTGATAGGTTCCCATCAGTGTGGTTGCCCAATATAGGCCATGTGCTTTATAGTCATGCTTAGTGTTGCTGCATTCAGTCAACTTCATAGTTGATTTTTATTACTGAGGACATGTTGCTTTTCACAGCAATTTCATGATAGTGTATTTAATGAAGTTTCTTTGTATGCAAGTGTTAGGTGAAGGGCTTTTCCTCCATGCTGATGGGGGGAGAGTGGAAACCTTGTCTTGTATGCAAGCAAATATGATATTAAAATATCTATTAAGTATTCATTAAAAATATAAGAGACATATTTTTCAAAGATGTTGTTTCATGCTAGTCTCTATATATTTAGGATTGGGAAAGGTTTTAATACCATCTCTTTATAAAATCTGTGCAGGCACCTCATGTTCTAGAGCAGGGGTGGGCAAAATGTCATATCCAGTCCATGACTGGACTCCATTTCCTGGAATCCCTGGTAGCAGCAGCTCCTTCTTGCTGCTGCTGTCAGTTTTATCCCCACTGCTTGGGCACTTTGGTCCATCCACCCCTCACCCACAACCAGGGTTGGGACCTGCATGGGCAGGGCATGCAGCTGGGTGGCTGGAATGGTGCTGTGGCTGGGAGCAAGATGGACAGCTGGGCTCAGAATATCCTGGGATCTTGAGGTGGTGATGGTGTGGAGCTGGGGCAGAACCAAGATCCGCTGCCCACATGCCCCTGCAACAAGTGTGGGTTTTGGGGGCAGGGGAGCGCAGGGGTGGATCGTGGTTCTGCTCTGGCCCCATGCTGTCACTGCCCCAAGATTCTGGCCCCAGCCTCAGACACAGCTCCCTACCTAGCCGTGCACCTTGCCCATGTGGCTCCCAGCCAATCTCCATGGAGACTCCAGGATCTTGGGGTGGTAACATTACAGGGTTGGGTCAGAGCCACAATGCACTACCCAGGTGCCCCTGCCCACAGAATTGGGGCTCTGTCTCAGCCGCAGCCCCACGCTGTCATGGCCCCACAATCCTGGGGTCTCCATGAAGGGCACAGCATGTGTCTGGGTGGGGAGCTACGTCCGGGGCTGGGGGCCAGGATTTGGAGCAGTGACAGCACAGGGATGGGGTAGAGCTGTGATCTGCTTCCTGCTCACAAGGATCCTGCCCCTGGTGGTGGGTGTGGGGCAGACGGCTGGGATGCCTGGGGCAGTGAGGCTGGGTCTGGCACCAGCAGCCAGAAGGAGCCACTGCTACTGGGATATGGGCCGTATTTTGCCCACCCCTGTTCTAGAGGGTGCCTATGGGTGGCATAATAGATTACCTTTAAGCCATTATAAAGGCATTTACAATGGGAGGGCCCATACATTAAAGGGTGTTAAACTGTGCTAAGGCTTATAAGGTTTGCCACTTTGGGTGAGGGTTATCTTTGAGTCATCCTACCTGGCTTGAACTAGGGCATTGTTAGTCTGCTCCATAGGGATAAGGTGACCAATTTTCAATCATCCAGTATCCCAGGATTCATGGCTCCCAGCCACTCTGCCCCTGATAAACTTTGTAAGCTCCCATGGGGTGGTATGGGCCTGAAGCTAAAACCTGTACCCATCCCCAGTGATATGATACCGGTCCACATGGCGCCATACTGCTGGCTCCAAGGATCCCAGGTGACCTGATCTGGAGGGGGGTGGGGGGTGGGAGGGTTATGGTGTCCCTCCTCAGCTTCCCATGTTCCTGTGGAGAAAAGGTCTGCCTAGACCTGAGTGTGGCAAGAACAAGGAACCCAGGGAGCCATGCTTCCCTGGGCTCCAAGCTCCTGCTGTGGTTAACCCCTGGCAGCTCTGCACTGGGAGCAGAGCTGCTGGGAAGTGAGAGTATGGAGCCCAGAGAGGCATGCCTCGGTTAACCCTGGGCTTCAGAGAAGGGATAGGGTCCTGGCTCAAGGACACACCCTGATTTGCCAAGCCCTCTAGTGGCAAATTACAGTTGTGCATGTGAGAAATGGCATTAAGCGTAACCTGCAACTGTTTTGAAACTACTCTAATTTTACCACTGCCTAACATTCCACAGATTTAGAATGGTTTAAAGCTAACCCATAACAGTACCCTGCGAGAGCAAATGACTACTGAAATCAGTGTGGTGAGGAAAAGGCATGCCATGCACAAACTGCATCCTAGTTTTGAACTCACATTCCCAATACATTCAAAGAACTGCACCTAAGCCATGAACAACCATTTGTACATGTACCAAAAGCCACCAAATTTAGGCTCTGTTACTAACCTGTGCAAGTTACTTGACTTCCCTGATTAACTACAGCCTCAAACCTTCTTTAGCTCTTGACAGCTGTGCGCAGTAGATACAGAAGTTACAGGCATCAGATCAGAATGGAATTGCTTGACTCACTTTGCACAGGGATAAGGGGCAATAAAAGACATAGTATAGTAGGGAGCCAGGGTTTCTGTGCCTCAGTTTCTTTCTGTATAAAAAGGAGACATAATACCTTCCTCAAGAGGAATATATGAGAATGAACAAGTTATTGTTTGTAGAATATGGTTTCTAGTGGTATGAAGTGCTGTGCTAGTATTGCCATGGTACTCTAACCACAGTACCTCCTGGATCTCTTTGAAGATTAGTGAGCATAAAGAGAATTTAAGAAATGGAATCTACAACGTAAACCTGGCTACATTGAAGTAAATGGCAAAATTCTTACTGAGTCCCGTGGAGCCTCAATTTTACCTCTGGTTTATATTACAATTTTTTAAATGCCAAAAATATATATCTATTTCTATTGTGTAATTCTTACTCTTGCAAGGAGGCGGGGGGTGTTCAGATGCATCATAATAGGTTTTGTCTTCCACTTCTTCTAGAACAGTTGGTTTGAGTTAACAAAGGGTGTGCGTTACATGCATTGATGTACAATAAGATGATTTCTCATCCTGTGTATTCCAAACCTTCCTAGTGATGGATTTAACTTGATGTTAATAACAAATAGATGGGTTTTGCCAGAATAGGAACCCTGTGACAGAAAGGATCTATGGGAATAAGGCTGAGATGCCAGTATGAATGGCTGGATTGTTTCATCAAGAGGAGTTTTTAATGCAGCTAAAATTTTTGCATGCTTTGATATCTCTGTAAAAAACTTAAACCAGTCATAACATATTGGCAAAGTTTATATTTGAATTTGATCCCAAGTAATGGAGTTTCTCTTAAAAATATCAACAGTCATTAGACTGCAGTATTTTTTTATATTTGTGCAAAAATAAGACAAGGTGCAAATGAGAAGCATACATCTTCACTAGTCTTTGGAAATATCTGAAATAATTGACTTGCTCAGTCTTCTGTGATGGCTTGGTGACCACTAACTGTGATGATTTGCATAATAGTCAACTCTTCACTTCTGTAGTGATAAGTGTTTGTATCTGATTAAAATTAGGACTGTTTTAGTTCTCTTGACTTTTCCAGAAGTTGCAGAAATTGAGATTTGCTGTTATGCTTTAACCAAACAAATGCACACTTGGGGATAACAATATGCTGAGTTTATGCAGATTTTACAACACGAATCTGAATAAAATACCCACTAATAGACCCTTAAGGAGTAATAAACACACATGAATTTTCCTTAGTTGCACTTTAAAGTGATTTTAACATACTACTAGACCTTAACAATAATATTTAATTGACAAGATTATGCATTTGTATGGATTGAAAAGGTGGTAGATCTCTAATTCCAAATGAACTATAAATTCACTTTTGCATAACATGTTTTATTTATTTCTTTATAACAGAGATGTTCTCCTTCCCTCCTAGTGAGAGTTTCTTAAAACACAGACAATTTAAACACATTTAATTACCATTTATCATATTCTTAACTTTATAAAATCATCTTCAGATGACTTCTGCATTTCCTGGAAGTGTATAACCACATAGCTGGGTACAAACAGGGCACTACATCAGGAAACTAATAAAAATAGAACCATACATAATACTTTTAAAACCCTTTTTCTCTGTGCTGTCAGATACAGAATTAAAGGTTATGCTGCCTCAGAATTTTATCATGCTTGCAGCCTTTACAGGTTTGCAGTCCAGGACATCCCTGTGTTTAGGACTTAACCCTTCATTTCATAATGAAACATTGAACAGATAGAGAATAAATGCCAGTTAGGGTTCATCTGAAAATTCAGTAGTGGGTTTCTTTTTTTTCTTCAATGACTTCCCTATGAAATGCTTTCACATTATTAGGTCTTTTCCTAAATATCAGTAAATATGATGCACAGTTAGAAATATGATGAGCACAATGTCATAGTTGCATGGTCACTGTTTTTGGTAGGGAAAAAAAAGGAAAAAATTCCCACAGTCCTTTTCTCAGGGGTAGTCATTCCTTATTCAAGGTCCTCCTTATTTCCATGGGACTATTCAGGCCAGACATTGCACATGTGTTTGTAGTACTGGCTTCTATAGTCATACTTTAACTTTGCATTGTTGGAATACTTGATGTTGAATCACACTAATTTAAATCCTGGAAAGGTCATAAGTGAAAATCCTGGGACCAGACATCCTGATATGCTCCAATTGCTTTGCATCAGTTTGGGACAGAGTAGGTACAAAATTGATTCTGGCTGGACAGTTAAACAAAATTTATAGTTATTTTGCATCACTAGAGAAGCATAAAGTAGCCAAAGCATACTACTTAAAACCCAACAAGCCTTTCTTCTTATCCCATTACTGCTGCTGACAGAACAGACTGTTTGTAGACCAAGATCCGATGATTGTTCATATGGCAGTTCATGATGATGGGTCACTGGGAGAGATACATGGAGGAAGCTTAAGACAAGCCTTGCAAGCACATAGTCATGTGGTTAATTTTAAGCAAGGGAGTAGCTGTGTTGGTTTCCACATAGCCAAGCATTTAAAGATCAGTGTCTGCCTGTTTAAATGATCAAATTCAAAGCAGTATTTTCAGTCACATGCATAACCACCAAATTATTGCAGTTTAGGGATGAATGTGTACAAACTGTTACATTTCGTTTCTTAAATATATTTTATATATAATTTCCAGAACTGATACTTTACTGATACTCATATATATATGAGAAAAGTATCAGTCCTGGAAATAAATGAGAATTGAAATGGCAGCAAAAAAATAATGACTCCTTCTATAATATACAGATTTTTAAAAATGCAGATTAGGTAAACATATACAGTACACAGCAAATTTGAAAACATGTATTACTTACACGATTGGTACTAACAGCTCCTTTAGTGCTAATAAGACCTTTCATAGGAATAAATCTAAAGAGGGTTTTAAAAATGCATTCTGTTAGCTTGATAGATGGAGCCATTATGTTCAGTCATATAAACACGTATTTTGGAAATTATGAAAATGCATATTTTTTTCCTTAGTATACTACCAATACCTGGGGAAATGTACTGGGGTATTGAACTACATAGATAAAAATGGAGAGAATTTTGAACACGCATCCTATTAAAAAGGCTGAAAGTGTAATGACTGCTTGAACAGAGCAAAGCACTCACAAATTACTTATGGACATTGTAACAAATTAATCACCTGCAGTATATATTTATTTTAAGGGAAGGATACTTTTTAATTATTTGGGTAGTTCAAAACAGTATTAATTTGGTAGAGGGTCAAGCTAATACTTAAAAAATGTTGTTCCTGCCTGATTTTGTATTTATTATTCAGTTTTGTATGAGATTTTCATCTTTAATACTATACACAGAGATTACCATCTTGATGTTTATCTCCCACAGTAGCAAAAGCATTGCAATATTTTCTCTGTTTCCCATTCCCAGTACAGGAAAAAATACAAATCCTGTACTGCAGACAAGCATTATGTTGCAGTAAATTCCAGAGGCCAGATTCATAGCTGTCATACACTGGTGCAACTCCACTGAGTTCAGTAGAGATCCAGTGATTTGCACCAGCTGAAGATTTGGCTCAATCATTTATAGACATAAGAAAAAATGGTCAAAATGATTTATGCTGGGTTATTTTAGCCAATTAGGGCATGTCAACGTGTTGCCCTATGGTGGTGTAATGATGTGCTACATTGCCATACGGCATAGTATGGTGACATAGCGATCACGTGGGTCTGCACATTATCGCCAGCTACATCGCTGTAGCAGCATGCTCCCCAGTTACAGAGCGCTGCTGTGGCAATGTGGCAGCGAAATCTAACCCTGTGCCACCTGTACTGCGCCATGCTTTAATACTTCCAATAGAGTCCAAAAGGGAGTATTAAAGCACCATGATGTGTAGATGCACAGTTAGATGAACATTTGGACCAGGGGAGTGTCCTTTAAAACTGATGCCTATCATAGAAAACAAAGGAAATTGAATACCAATAAAGGAAATATAACAAAGATTATTACTAGCTTCCTTCTTTTCCCCCTCCATGGCACTTCATTCTCCCCTCTGCTGAAATAAACCATGCAAAGAGAAGGAAACTTGGCAAATTTGAACTTGAGGAGTTAGAAATTCTACTGCCAGGGTAGGATGGCAGTAGAAGTTAGTTAAAGTCAGCTGTCCCTTATATAAAAGGTTTCTGCAATCAAATAGAGATGTATGAATTCCTTGTCCTTTTCAGTTCTGCCTCTTCTGCCCCATTACCCCCTGATCTTTGGGGAAGATCCTTTTCCCAGTCTGTATCTCCACACTACTCCCAAAAGGAGGCTTCACTGTGAAAAGGAAGAAGCCAGCACATATTAATAAAGAGACTCAGTATTATTTTTTTTTTGGTTTCCCCATCAGGCTTGGGGAAACTAAGAATCAGGAACTATCTGATTTATCTCCAAATTTGGGGAATCTCTCCCTTCAGAGAAAGGCTTTCTCAAAATTGGGAAGGGAAGGCAATCAGCATGAGATGTCTCTGCCTTTCTCCATGCCTGAAGCAAGGTTATGGGTGGAGGATCTAGTCAAGCATGGTTGTACAGGAAAGCATGAAGACTAAAGAAGTATAACTAGCAGGGAGACATTTGTAAATGGAGAATGTTGTGTAGAAGGTTTGTTACTTAAGGTTGACATACCTGGTTATGCTAATCTTTTTATTTCATTTTATAGCTTGGGAGGCCTCACAGCAGTAGGGGATCTTATGCACTATAGGAACTTCAAATTTAGATAAATGAGGGGAAGCAAGGACTTTTTAAAATGAGGCCATAGATTTCTATGAATTTTCTTCTTTTTTTTTGGTGACTATAGCGCTGTTTGAATTAAGGGCCGTTTTAATTTTAGAAGACAAATCCCCGTCCTGCTGATAGAAGAGATAAAGGGGAACTCATAGGAACATTATTCATTACCATTTTTCATCATCTAACAGGTAGATGACATCAAAATTCTTCAAAATACTGTTTCTAGTCTAGTTCTTGGCCAACAAATTGAGCAAAATTAAATATAATATGTACCTGCTGATGCATTTTTTTTCATGGAGCATGAATCACCTTACAACTTAGTCTTTACTTTTACTATATATGTAGGGTTCCTAGTCCCAGAGAAGCAGAGAATTTTCATTTGAATCATTATTATTGAAGGCCACATTCCTTTTATAATCCATGGATTCCTCTTTCTTTGTACAGTACAAAGCATCTAGGATTGTAGCAGCCAGGTTCCTATGAGGTTGGTATTCCAATCTGTCAGTGGAAAAATGCAAAACGGCATTTGATGAAGTGAGCTTAGACTCATGAAAGTTTATGCAAGTCTGATTTAGTTAGTCTCTAAGGTGTAACTCTACCCTGCCCTCCTTATCAAGACCGCACCCAGCACTTGCTATTCAAGGGAAAACCAAATCCAAGGTTGCTTCCCTCCAGAGTTACTTTCTGACTTGCACCTTATACTATGAATTTTGTCACTTATTCCCAAATATTGTCAGACTTTAGATAGATATTAGACAATACTTGCTAAGATTTTCTTAATTTTTAGTAACTGCTTCTATTTGATAAATTGTACTATTTTTATTATATTCGGTACATACTTCAAAATCTTTCAAACAAAGAACCCAGCCTTTACAGGCAGTTTCCTTTTACTTATTATCATGTGATAAAAAATATCTTATTTAAGGCTAGTCTTTAAAATGAAGAATGTCAGAGTTTGATTTCTGTTGATCAAAATACCATAAAGCATCAAGGTACTCACCCAGGACTTGTATCACTCAGTTAAAAGGATTAAACAGATACAATTGTTCAAATACAAACATGTATTGCCTGTAACAAAAAAGTTAAATAATCTTCATGAAAGAGAAAATGAGTCCCCCTGAGTGTCGCTCTGTTTGCATATTAGCACATAGCAAGGTCTCTGCCAAGCTACTCTGACTGACTGCTGCAGATGCTCTTTCTCAAGTATTCTGAGTCAGATCTTTAGTGCAAGTCTTTGGGGACAAACAATAGCACCTGTTCCTCACAAGATATCAGGCCAGTTAGTCCATTCATGTATCTTTAATGAAGCTCTGGGGCAGATGGCAAAAAATGGCATCATCAACAACTTAGCGCAGAGGAGACAAAAGGGAAAGTGTCGATCCAACAATACGCTATTTTTACGAATGGGAAGAGACAGAGTCTAAGTGTTCTTCATACATCTGCTGCTGTCTTGGTTTTCAGAAAGACCTGAGGAACATCCTAGCAATTAAAATTTCTGGGCAAGAAGCCGATTTTATGAAGTTCACCATTCAACCCTCTCCCCCAGCATGCACACACAGATGCATGCACACATGCACCCACTCTCACACACATCAAGTTGTGAGGCATGAAGAGTCAATACCATACTTTTTGGCAATCATTTTACTTCTTTAACAACTCATGGATTAGTTATAACAGTATATCCACTATATCTCTGTTCATCTGTGCTATTCATTTGGTTTTATGGTGAGAATAGAGACATTTATTTGTAAAACAATTCTTGGCAAAATCAACAATGAATATAATCATTGCTTTAGATTTAGGTCCAAGAAAGTTAAGGAGTTTAGTTATGTCTCAACAACAAGCAAAAGCCTAATTCATAAATGTTGGAAAGCCCTAGATTTTTCTTAAAAATAGTATTTGATATGTATTAAAAAAAAACCTTCTCCAGCAATTAAGCAAACATTTCACAGTCTATGTGACTATGTAAACCACACTGAAGTCATGGAGCTATTCTGATTATGTTAGCTGAAGATATGGCCCAATATTTGGGCATGTATTTTAAATAATGATTGCAATGGATAGCCTGAGCATACAAAGATAATATTTTTAACTGTTTAGTGAAACATGAGATTTTCAAAAATAATTTTCAGGCATTTGGAATCAGATGTGTTTGAAAATTATCATTAGGCAAAGTCTGGGTGAAGTCACTAGGGGAGAATACGTTTCTTATTAGTTAGGTTTCACATAACTCTTGTGAGATAGGTAGTGATGGTACTGAGGCATGGGCAAGTTAGGGCCAATATTTTGAACTTTGGTGGCTGTTTTGGGTTATTCAGCTTAAGGTAACAGGTTGTTCTGAGCTGGGCAACCAAAGATTGAAGCACCCAAGAACCTACCGTATTGGCTACCTTAGAAAAAGTCCTAAATAGCTTGTCTAAATAGCTTGTCAGCAAGTCATTGACTGATATGTTAAAAAAACCCATATAAGGTATGATTCTCAGCCTTTAGATATCACTGATAGGGAACTGTCAGAAACTACCAGGGTCCAGAAATGGGCTAAGACAGGTTACATGCCTCTTTCATTTTTCCTGCATGTACAGTGAGGTCTGCAATCACTGCTTGGCCAAAACAGGCTCCTGAGGGAGTTCTGCATGAGCCCTGAGCTCACCAGCTAATTGGGACAGGGTCTGACTAGACTCCCTGCTAGGCTCTGGAGCCCAGGGGGTGAGTGCTGCTGCTGTTTGTCCTGCTCTCCTTTCCCCTGCTTCTGAATTCAGCAAAAAGAGGAAAGGAGGGGCCAGGTAGTGGTGACAGCACTCACCTCCTTAGATTTCAGAGCGCTGTGAAGACAGTGACTCCAGCTAGACCTGGTGCTGAGAGCTCTCCTGAGCTCACCAAAAGGGTGGGTACAACCATGCCGCTGAGCTCCCTTTGGATCTGCTCCTGGTAACAGTGAATATGTTATTTTCTTTCTTTGGAAATTTCCATCAAGGGAGAGGAGCTTAAATGCCCTCCCAGTGTTCCTTCAGAGCCCTACTGATGGAGTCTTTGTGGTTGCACTGAATCGATGTGTGCATTGGTTCCCTAACTACCTTCCCCATTTCTTTTGTGCCTGTGCTGGCACCTTGAGACCCTCAGGTGGAAGGGAGAGTTTGGGTACCTTAAGCCCCTACTATGTTACATAGATTATGCAATTAACTGGCTAATCATGCAATAGCTTTAGGCCAGCCACATGTGCAAAGTAATTATTGCAAGATAATAATGACTATCCAGCTATAAGAAGAGCCAACCAGCTATAAAGTTAGCTGTGTAACAGCTCTGTAGCTGGCTTCTGTCCTGCTTTAATCTGAACATATAGCAGTGCTCTTTCACTATGCCAGTCATCTAGAAGGACTACCTGCTGTTGATGACCAGGAGGGATCAGTTGGATTAGAATCTACCTTGAGAAAACTGCAGATGATTGTGAAACACAGAGAATTCAAATCCTTCCAATTGTTCCCTCTGTCAGACACTGACATTGTTTATACTTGTTGCACACTTACATTCAAGTAATGTACAATAAAACTTAACGCCATTATATCAGAAGTTAAGGCTGGTATTGGGCACGTGGGGATCAACTCCAATTTAACCAAGTTGAGCTCATACGCTAACATTCACAACTAGGCTTACCTCAGCTAAAATGAAAGAAATAGCTTCCCAAAGCTAGTTTTTTTCACGCCCCAGTGCTATGGCAGTAATTGCACAAAGACCTTTTTATTATAAGTTGATTTTCTTGAGAAATGGATTCAGAAAAATACTGTAAAGTGTTTATTTTTTGCTTGACCTTTATTAACCTACATCTTAGGGCTTTCCCCAGAGAAGAGTTGTTGGTAAATTAACCCTCATAGACATACACAGTAGCATTTCTGCACTGCATCAGTGGCTGTGAAAGGAACAGGGATATGACAAGAAAATTTGGCGCTATTTAAACGATGTCATAGGTCAACATATGGGATTTGGCCAAAAAAAGTTTTTAGGAATTAAAATGAAAAGAAATCACTTGAAGTTTAGTTTAACTTTTTAATAGTATTTAATGCCACCCATTTATGGTAGGATAAGAGGGCAAAAATTCTTTCCTTCTGGAAAAATAATTCCTTTCTACACTTCCTAGTTTTGATATATAAACTGTTAGATGTTTACTTTGCTACTAATCAGAAAAATCCTGTTGTCAACCCTTCCGTAATTTGGTGGAGGGGAGGTAGGCAAAAAACTACATATGATCCTATCCAGTATCTCTGATATGTGGATAGCATAAATAAAGAAACCAGGAAATTAAAACGTGAATTTAACAGACACGATTCCATATGTGGAATACAAGTGCTGATGTAAGGTGAAGAATTTTCTGCTTTTGAATGTTTGTGTTCTTTGATACGTTTATTAAGGTCAAATGAAATTTGATATAGTAGGATTTATTCTGAACTGCTCTCTGAATACAACTCCATAATTACGGAGCTACATGATAGTGCATAAAGCTATAAAACTGCTTAGACAGACAAGCAATTTATATGTTACAGAGAGGTGTGCATGGCAAAAGATATTAGTTTAATTGGGAGCCAAGATGTTGTAGCCTTAAATCTTAAGAGCTAGGGTGTTGTCTAGGAGACTATTTAGCATACTGTGGTGAGATATTGAAATAACATACCTGAATTGTTGGTATATATATATACCAACAATTCAGGTATGTTATTTCAATATCTCACCATACATGTATATATATATTGTATATATATACTAACATAGGAGATATATATATATATATATATATACACACACACACTAACAATGCAATAGTGTAAGATCCCAGAATTAAAATTGCCCTAAGGACATTAATATATGGATGTCAGAATGGGTTTTTAGATATAAAGATACCTCTGAAATGCCTGTCAATGTAATATCCAAGCACCCAAAGAAGAAAAATATGAAAAAGTAATAAAAATGCATGCCAGATTTTTAAAAAGAATCTTTATGGTATATTTATAAAGGTTGATATCTTTTTCATATAGTAAAATGCAAGCACCAGGAATAATAAGAAAGGAATCAGCCAGAAGTAGGAGAAAGTGGAGTTCACTGAGACCGTTACACCTTTGACACCAAGGGGAAACAATGTTAGTGAGGACTTTGATGTGATAATGTGAAATTGGCAAGGATTACTTTAAGGAGAAGGTTCTGTGGGACTGTATGAACACAAGAACACTATCAGTGCTGGAGAAATACCTGTCAAGACAAATTTGTGCTATTTCTGATCAGAGGCTCTCTTCTGTTTAGCAGGTTCAGGGTCACATGCCTCCGCTCATGATCCCAATTTTTCCACACGACCAGCGGACATTGGCAGCGGCTGCTGCAGCCCAGCAGGGATTCCTCTTCCCCCCAGGAATAACTTACAAGCCAGGTAAGTTGACAGGGATATGAAGGTATTCAACATGTTAAGATATTAGCTGTGACTTCTCTTGTGATCTGTCTGGTATAGCTGATGTTACACAAAAGGACTAGCTGAGTGAAAATAATTAGAAGTTTTGTAAGTCTCATTAGAAATAACTTCTGGGTTTATAAGGGATATAAGGAAAATTGGGTATTGAGCACCATAATCAGTTTACCTCAATATCCCACAAAACCATCTGCTCTGTATTTATTGACCCACTTGCCTCCCAATTTGCATTTGGCACACCCTGTTTCTTTATACAAAAGGTACATATCTTTTCTTATGTGTCTTATCTGTCGCATGTATAGTATACATTTTCATCTTTTGTGCAAAAATTCTTAGCCTTAATTAGTGATAAAAGCAAAAGCAGGTATAATTTAATTATCATGCTTCAAATGGGCAACTTTCTGTTTGATTTCAATGTGAATAAAAAGGTTTCAGAAATTCAATCCCAATCATCATTCAGACTTGTAACAGGTCACATAACCTTGCAGTGAAATATGTTTTGAGATGATTTAGCAAATGTTATGATTTCTTTCTTTATTCCTCTGAGTTTACTGGACTCCTGGGGAATTCAATTAGGGATATAATGGTTTGAAGCTACTTTCAGAGCCTCCTTGTAAACAGGGTTTTAAATGTTTAAAGACATGTTGCCAAAGGAATTCAATGCAGGAAGATAGTTAAGTAAATACAAGTCAACCTTATTTTCATTTGTACGTTCTTTGTAAGTGACCTCAGCCCAGAAGCAGTAACCTTATTTTGCTCGTTAATAAAATTCTCTGTCAAGCCGTCTTTAGCATATTAACCTGATAACTAATAACCACAAAACCTGAGCATAACAGTTTCTTTGGATATTAAACGCAAAATGTACAAAGTAAAGCGTTGATCCTGTTTCCACTGAAATTAGTTGGACTTTTGCAGTTGACTTTAGCAGGGATGGGATCAAATCCAAAGAAAAAGCCTCATAATGTAAAATATAAACAGCATATTAAAGAACAGCCAGGTTGAACTGAAAATCTCTTCAAGCAAGTTAACTTAAATATTTGGTGAAATAGGACCAGATAGGGTTTCAGCAAGCATTTTTGTTTGTCCCCTTCCATTCTATCTCTCTATTCTAGAGGAATTCTTCCTTTTGATAATTATCTTTTATATTGTGCTTTTCAACCTCAAGAATCCCAAAATGCTTTTCAAATTTAGCAAACTGATGCACAGACTGTACACGGAGAACAGTTCATCCACTTCTGAAATGCAGCTCTGGGTGGCATCAAACTGTTTAATCACACACAGCAGTACAACATTTGAGGATGGGAAACTAAGAGTATCTTTTCCAGCTGAAGTCTCTGGAAGTCACAAGGAAGCATAATATAATTATCAGACTTGGAGCTTGTCCAGAGTTGAAATCATTTCTCTTATGGGCCATGATTTATAAAAAGACCAAAGCATGTGCTTTAGTCCCATTGATTTGATCCTTTCTGATAAGCAATGATTCCCTGAATTGGGAGTGCAAGCACCACTGATAACCAGGAACTTGGTTTTACTTCCCACCTGAAAGTTGACACCTCAAACAGCACTTTGCTCCATCAGGCTAGGCAATTGAATTGGGTGAGTACTGACTTAGAGGGAACAGTACCACTGATTAATTGCCCACACAGCTTGCTGCCACTCCAAGGTGTTCCTTAGAATTGCCATCCAAATGCAGACCTTAACTCCACGCTGCTTTGCTTGTGAACCTGTCATCTTCCACAGTGCCAGGTGCTGTAGCTTGAGGCTATTTTCAATGAAGAAAAAAGGTCTGTATAGCAAATGTTTAAATAATAAAGAAATGGTCAAAACTGGAGTTCAGGGAGTCTCAGAACATTGCTAATGAGACATGGCACTATTCCCTAGTCAGTAACTGGTTTGAATCCAGCTTAGCTTGTTAGAGACCTGAAGTCACTATGATTGGACTTTTTCAGTGGCTTGTGGCAAATGACTACATTTATATTTTAATGTATTTATTAAATTTCATAGCATGTATTGCCAAAGTAGCTGGCTCTTTTAGTAGTTTCTCTTGGACAAATCTCATCATAAAAAAAAAAGCACCACCACAGTTGGTATTGATTAGTCCCCGCTTTTGGCAATCGCAGTACAGAGGATAAGAAATTAATGGAAATAAGAGATGAACTTACACTCTCTTTCTTAGACATGGCTCCTTGGCATCATGACTCAGGGACTTGAAGGAAGTTTGTGCCCCTTACTATTTGTATTCTGCCCCTTGTATAAATAAATAGAAAACTTTAATTTCCAGGGCTGTCAATCTAATTTCAAACAAAATACTTTCAATATTAACATTTTTCCTCTCAAGTTACTTTTAAATTTTTAGCTCTTCTAATTCTAAGCAGTGTTTACTGTACTTTCTTTTTTCGTTTGGAAAATACAAAAGGATGAGCTAACAGGAGCTGCTGGGTGTGCTGAGCACCTTCAAAAGTTGGTCCCCAGATTGCACCCCCTCCATTCCCCTCTGCCCCACCAAGGAAAACACCTATTAACTTCTCCCCACTCACCTCTACCCCCCCCCTCTAAAAAACAAACAAACAGATAAGCAGTAGGCCAGATAATTCTCTTTAATGGGAGGGAAAAAGAGGAAAAAAACATTGGAGCAAGCAAAACCCAGTGAGGTTCTTTATCTGGAATATACTGGGGAGGCCCTACAGAATGTACAAGTTCGAGTCTCTATAAAAAATCTGTTAGGAAGAAAGCTCCTTTCTGATTGCAGCCATGGTGTATGGTGACTGCAGCCTTGCTGGCTTTTCTTTCCATGTGTTGGAACTCTGGGAGATGAACCAGGCAAAAACTAACAAGCAGTGATCACAAGTAATAAATACATACAAAATGAAGTCCCATGCTTCCTTGTGTATCTCAAAGTAGTGTAATATAATTTTCCGGCATGGTAAGTACTAATTGAGAAATCAGAGCTGCATAGATCACCTAATTAATTTTTTATACGTTTTTCAGTATTTATACTGTATATTGGATTAATTAAAACTTTAGGGTGCTGTGCAGCTCAAATTACTGTTGTGACTACTGACCTGCAGTTACTTGAACCTTCCAGAATACCTTGCTGTGGAGGTTTCACTTTATTCCAATGGGATGTTCACAATGGCAGCTGTTTGCTAAGAGATGCCACAGAGTTATGATTATTTTTGTATTCTAAGTAGAGTAAGAGAATTGTGTTGACCATTTAATGGTGTCCACTGTGTCTGCTCTTGGAACTTATGAACAAGGATCCTGGTTTTCTCTGATAAAAAAAAATCCCCAATTTTTGGATTAAATAAAGTAATCCAAAATCACATTTTTCTGTAATCAAACTGAAACCCCACTAATATATAGATATATCTAGATTCTATATCTAGATATAGATATAGAATCTAGATATATCTATATATTAGTGGGGTTTCATTTTGATCATGGAAAAATGTGGATTTATGTTATTCATTAGGCCTGTGTGAAGCGGCTAGTATTTGCTTTGGATTCAGCTGATTCGGGGGACAGGGATTCGATTCCGTGATCCAGATCACTGTCCCAAATTGATTTGGCTAAATCTAATTCAGAGATTTGGCCACCGCTGAATAAGCCGAATCTCCGAATTGGCCTCATCCCCTCCCTGCTCTCAGTGGCCTGCTCCCAATGGCCTCGCCTGCTCTCCCAGCTCCTGGCTCTTTAAAAAAAAGCCTGCATTCACTGGCTGCTGCCAGGATGAGGCCATCCTGCTGCCCCCCTACTTCCCCCTGCTGCATGGGGGGGGGTGCTCTGCCATGAGCCCCTAACTCCTGCCCACTCCCCCAGGCCCCCTATGGCTGTCTCACCTGCCCCAGCTCCCAGCCCTTTCAAACCCTCCCCCTCTCCCCCCCGATTCACTGGCTGCTGCCAGGAGGAGGCCATCCTGCTGCCCCCCTACTTCCCCCTGCTGCATGGGGGGGGGTGCTCTGCCATGAGCCGCCAGAATCCCTGAGGCTGCTGCAGCAGCTGGTGAGTGTGGAGGTTTTTTGTTTTGTTTTGTTTTGTGTTTTAAGGGCCGGGAGCTGGGGTGGGCAGAGCTGCATGGGGGGACTGGAACAGCAGGCTCATGGCAGAGCCCCCCACATGGTGGGGGGCAGTGGGGATCGTCCCCCCACCTGGCAGCAGCCAGTGAGTAGGGGCTTTCTTTTAAAGAGCTTTGAGCTGGGGCAGGTGGGGCAGCCATGTGGGGAGGGGTCTGGGATAGCAGGCAGGGGTCGGGGGATGTTCAGGAGGGCTGGGGAGCTGGCAGGGGATGGGGCCTGGCAGGGGTCCCCCCATGGTCCTCTCCCCCCTCCTCCAGCCCCCACTCCTCCACCCCTTATTTACCAGCGTGGAGTCCAGGTCCTGCTCCCTGTGGCAGTGAGCAGAGACTGCCTGAATTGCCGAAACTCTTCAAATCTTTTCCGAATTGATTTGGAGAGCTTTGAATCGATACGGACCTTTTAACTGGTCTCCTGATTTGATTTGGATTCAGAGATTTGGCCACCAAATCAGGCCGAATCTCCTCTGAATTGAATCAGCACCTGAAGCTTCCAACAGTGAAACAGTGATGCATGCTTATTATCAGGAATCCTGGTTTTCTTTGATAAAAAAATTCCCAATTTTCAGATTTTATAGGTACCTATATATTAGTGGTGTTTCATTTTGATTATGGAAAAATGTGAATTTTTTATCAGAAAAAAACCAGGATCCCTGCTGATGAATTACATAGATGCCAGGCAGTTCTTTCTCTTCCCCTGGACAGAACAAGATATTCTACTTGCCTTGACCATCATATACAGTCAGGCTAGTGGGAATATTACAGGGTTGGAGCATCATAGAACTAATCAGAAAGTCTCATCAAGTGGTTTGTCCTAGTGGGATAGTAATTTTCTATCCAGTATATGGGGTTGTGTGAAGGAGAGTTTTAGTTCCTTCCATTTTGCAGTCTG